ATCTATAGTTAGATTAAATAAACCTGAATGTCGTTGTATATGTAATTTTATAATACGTTTATGGGTAAAAAAAATTCTACTTTTATAAGAACTTTCTGAGAACTTTAAAGAACCTTGACGCACATTGAGAGATATCAAAAATAAAAACTTCTTGCAAGAAAAAATTTAATTTTCAAGTCTTTTTATGAGTTTCTGTGAATTTAATTAAAAATTAAAGAGTTATCATTCCTGGCTGAGGATCGGACAACCTTAATAGCATTAATGACAATATTATAAAAAAAAAATAATATCACATTGTTTAGTAACTGTGCTGTTGATCAATGACCATCAATAAAGTCGTATACTTGTGTTCTCTCCCTTCTGCTCTGAAAAACAATTAATTGTATACATAAAACTGTTTGGGCAAGGACATTTGGTCAGCTTCTACTGAGTAATTGAATTCTCCTCTGAGAACAAAAATTACTGAAAAAAATATATGTGCTCTGGAATTACGCATGCTTGTATTACGCATATCTTCACGACCAGTGATCAAAACCTCTAGACCATTCTCTGTCTGAAGTGAGTTTATTTTCAATGTTCATCAATGTAATCAAGCTAAGAAAAGTTGTACATTACGCCTCAAATATGCCTTTAATTTCAAAGCTACATATGTGCTAATAAGCACTTCAGCTTTCTGTTTGATGTAGTAGGGAGTCTGATAAAGCACACTTGAGTTCTAGGCACGAACATTCTTTTTTAAACCAAAACAATCTAATGACACATACGTTAGTTGAAAATATGATACGCATTGTCAAAACCAACCCATGCCATTACATGTATTACTACGATTTTACATGTACTTGAATGAATCCTGGCGTATGCACAAAACAATTAAATAACATCCTTCATCTTATATCAGCAGCGTCCAGGAAATATATATAGAATGTTATTTCTTATTTTTTAAAAATGCAAATTGAAAAGTATAGATTACTTACAGTGCTAATCTTGTTACTGCAAAACGTTCAGTGAAAAACAGCTGCATAAAAAGCATTAAAATTATCCTTACAAATAATATGCATCAAAAACATGTGTACGCATCTACATCACAAATATTTACCAAGGATACGTTGTCACGTGACATCAAAAAACAGGAAATATGTTTGGATCACAATAAAGGAATTCAAGTGAATGTAGGGCGACTGAAAATGTACGTATAAAAAGAGACAATGCTTGTTTATTCCTGAAAAAAAAAACAAAAATATATGTCTAAATATTCTATAAAATGTTCAATTACATGTTTTTTTTGTTTTTTGTTTTTTTTTTGTTTTTTTTTTTTTATACAGTTTAATGACATATGAGACAAACAAAAATGTGGATGCCAGGAATGTTACCTATATATTTCTGATCTACTTTAGTTAGTCACTTAAAATCTAATTATTGTGAATCTTTAAATAAAAAATTAAAAGCTGAGCATTTACTCATATATAAATATAACTTTGGTTGTTATTAACATAATTAATAATTAAAGTTTGTTTGTGTCATCTGCTTTACTGTTTATAGAAAAAAAATACAATGCAAGAATTGTAGTGGGACAGTAAAAGCTTCCTAATGTTTTAAACCCTTTAAAATCAAATATCCGTACATTATTTTTTTAATGTTTTGAAACCAGGTATGAATGTAAAATCAGAGATAAGATATAACCCCTGTTATACATTTTTTGGTATTAATTTTGTAGAAATTTCAGGAATTCATTCATAAAATTGATTTTCTACTTTTAAAAAAATGTATTGTAAAACAAAGTTAATTTAATTATTAAATATGACCTTAGACACATTAAAAATTAGCAATAGCAAAATGTTTCACAAAGAGGTCATTTATTTACTTCTATACGATCACAATCATCAAGGTTTGATATGAAAGGAGTTTCTTCAAGGTATGCACTGTCCTTGACCTTTTTCGTCTCGTCCTTGACCCTCTCCACAAGTGAACATTCAGTATTTCCTTTTCTTACACAATAATCTGTCTCTGGGTCACCTCCATAATCCCTTTCAATGACGACGTTATCAACGTACTTTGTGGTCTGTTCTTGAGCTGTCTCGCTTTCCTGAAAAATTATCCTCTCTTCTGGGTTCTGAGTAAAAGTTCCACGATGTTCGCCAACTCCTGAGCCCCAAGCAAAAACAGAACCAATCAGGATTATTATACCTAAAAGAGAGAAATCTCAAAATGTACAACGATTTTTTTTTAAAAAAAATTTAATACCTGCATCGTAGACACAAAAATGCTGGAAGATGGACATGATATTAAAAATCAGATTTTTATTTGTTCGCTGATCAGTTGTGGCTTCTTACCCGCCGCTGCAATTGACTGACTGTATGTACCACCAAGGTCAACAATGAAACCTAAAAAGTGTATTTACTAAAATATTTGTAAAAACTATGAGAGACTAAGATAATAAAAATAATTTTTGTCATCAGTGTAACTTACATATATATTTTTTTTCAAAAACCAAATAACACATGTATATTCACCTCCTAGTAAAGGCCCTATAAAACAACCTATACCGGTGAAAAACGAAATCAAGCCATACACTGTGGCTAGATTTGTAATCCCAGCAAGAATTACACATATGGAATTTAACAGGACAAAGCATATTCCTGAGTACAATCCAAATGACACCATATAAAAAACCTGTCCTCCATAAATGTGTCCATAGAGTGGAAAAACCACTGTTGTTAATCCGGTAAGGCTAAATGTCCCTGCGTATAGTACAAATTCATCAACATTGTGAACATTTGTAGCTGAACCAACCAGAATTCGAGAAATACAATTGCAGATTCCACATATGGAGAAAAGAAAAGCTGCCTCTAATTTACTGAATCCGATGGATGTTACATAACTCGCAAAATGAAGATAAACGAGATAAATTCCTAAATTACACAGAAACATGGATATGTAAATGTTTATAAGTGCTTTTTGTGACACAGCTCTGCATATGTCTCTCAGTCTCTTGGGTTTCGGTGAAAGAACAGTACTCTTGCGATTCAAATCTTTCATCTTTTCTTTCTTTTGATCCATTTCCAGCTTGGAAGGAAAAAGTAAACAACCAAAAACACAGTATTGTAATGTAAGACCTGCACACATAAACATTAAGCCATGATATCCATAGCGATTGCTAACAGATTGCATCAATGGCGCTAGAGCAAAAGATCCAATACCAATACCCGATACCGCTATCCCACTCGCAAAGTTTCTTTTCATTTCAAAGTTGTATCCTAGAACAACAATGGACGGTGTAAAGGTGATTCCTATTCCAATTCCTTCAATTAAAGACAATTTCATAATTTAATTATGTCAAATATAAATACATGTATTCGATATATTTTTTGTTAATATTTGATTATTAATAATTTATAGATACAAATCTTTTAATTACAAGTACTTTAGCTTCTTTAGTAGAAAGTATATTATGATAACGGAGTAAAAGAACTCCCATTATTTTTGTAAAGTATCCTAACTTTGTGTTTTAATACCATGATTTTTTTTTTTAAAACTGTGAAATATTTTACCACCAAATATTCCTAGTGAAAAGAAAACAAGAATTATATTCGGCATAAATGAAGTCACCAGGAGACTAAGGGACACAATTAGTCCACCCACTACCATTCCTACTCGGCAACTCCATTTATTGATTATCAAGCTGGCAATTGGTCCTGAAACGCAGAAAAAAAACAAGGTATGTCATCTGGTCACATCATTCTGGAACATACTTCAATGTTTTTATTCAATAGTAAATTTGCTGAACTTGTTTATGCAATATACATAAAATTAAGCAACTTTTAAAAATGTTATTTGAAAACACCAAAGTGTGCAGGAATCGTTTACATGCTGTTACATCTAATGAATTCCAGTTTTATTTATAAAACTGACCTGATATGGAAAGTAATCCTATAAATGTAGAAAGTGGCAATGAAGTTATGAACACACTTTCCTTGTAGTGGTCAAGCAAGGACATCTGAAGAATCCCCACTGCAGTCAGAAAGAAACCGTGGATGCAATTTGATCCAAAAGAAGCAAGAAGGACAATCCAGGACCATCCTTGATCCGGAGATGTAAAGTTTCCTTTCATGACCAGTCCTGTACTACCAAAAGAGAGGCCTTTTCTTTGTTTTAGATATAAATATTAGGAAACTATCATCACTAAAAAGAATGTAATATATTTTTGGGTATTTGCATTATTCGGCTGAGAGAGATGACAGATGCGAGCTCTGATAAACATAGATGCACCGGCCACTCGGGTTTGACCTTTTTACCTTTTGACCTGAATGGATATCTGTTTGTTTATCGAAGGATGTGGTTTAGACAAAGCAACAACCAATAGTATTTAAGTGACCGTAGTTCAGTTATTGATACAAAATATATTTGAAGAGAATGCAAAAGGATTGAAAAGGGTTTTAAAAGTGCAATTAAAAATTTAAGGAGGGTTTGAGGACGGATTATGTCAGCTGAAATTCAGAGCAAAGTCATTATTGCAAATTATGAAGAAATGATAAAATATGTAGGGCATGCACGGAGACTTGGAAAAACCTCTTTAAAACCAAACAAATAGTTATTGGAGTTATCATAGTTTTTACATCTATATCATACCACAATACGCATACGGATAGGTATACGTCAGATTGAACGATCTCTAAAAAGATTAACATCACTTATTTATAAAACAAAATGTGAAACAAAATCTTCAATTCTTAATTTAAAGCTTTGATAAAAATTTCCTATTTAAAACCATATTTTGTTTTAAATTATATCATTTGCTTATTTTTACTTATGTACATTTTTTTTTCAAATTTCTTCGTTTTAATTAATGATCATTAAAGATTGTTTGTTGGCTGTTTTATGTATCATTTGAGCATATTTCACGCATATAGAGACAACACCATATACAGGTTAAGGGCTTCGAATTTTTACTTTTAAAACCCACTTAAGGACATTGAGAGCAACGTCTACCGTGGCACAGGACCTTGGTTTAATCGAAGGACCCACAACTTTGATCAGTAACGAAAAATAAATATGGTGTATAGAAAAAGTATACACAATTGAAAATAATCGACTTTCATGAAACATTTTATTCAAAATGTTTCAACATTTTGATAAATTATTTACATGAACGATTAAATAATTTATAAATTCAGCACCAATTTATTAAAATACATGAACTATACAAACCATAAAACAAGATGTCTGTGAGCCAATGCTCACTAGTAATACCCCTGCCCTGATGTGAATATGCACTTTAATTTATGTTATTATACATGCAGATGCACAGATAAATAGGAAGTTGACATCAGATTTATACACAAAAATATCACCAAATACCATGTCTCAAAAAAGTATCTGCTTAATTTTAGCATCAGTGATGTGTTGCTGCTGAGAAAAAAGTGCAATGAAAAATTTGTTTTATATAGTACAGACAGACGCAGGGATAAACAGGAAACTGACATCATATTTGAACAACAATGAATCCCCCCATATGGCTCAGCAAAGAATGTGCTAAAAATTTAAATATTTGCGATCAGTAGTTGCTGAGATAACTGCGATCAAAAATTTGTTACGGACAGACAGAAAGACACACATACAAGGGTAAAACAGTATACACCTCTCCTTAAAATCAACTGCACGTATTTATATAGAATTAAATGGTATAATTTTCCTACCTATATAAAATTCATTCTTCCGTAAAGCAAGGCCTTGAGAAATAACAGTCCTAATTTTAAATATGCTGAAGGAAAATAAACCTTTATAATTATACTGCAATCTAGTTGTTCTCAGTACTTCAGAAACATGTAATCAGGATTGTCAGATACGCAAGTTAGACATTGGTTCAAGAAAATAAGTCCTTTTAGAACAGGCAGCACAACAGCTATTGAAAATTTAAATCTTATTTCACACTTGCTGAATACCAGATATTTAAAATGGATCGGCTGCTGCCTGTACATATGAATTATTTATGAAAAAAGCCAGCAGGTGTTAAGGGACTCTTGATGTAGACTCTTATCCTAAGAAATTTCAAATTGTTAAGTACGTTATTTTACCCTTTTGCTAGGAGCACTGACTTTTACAGTAGACGGCTTACGTTTACGCTTAGACAATATTCGGAAGCTCTTTTGCAATAAAATATTTATAGTTCAGTATTTTATTAATTAAATGAAAATAATGGGCATAAATAAAGGGCATATAAGTTGTCCGACAAAACATGAAGAATCCGACGACTACTTTACCCCCAAATACCACCTTTTACAAGTTAGCGCGAAAACACCATACCTATGATCATTGGAAAGGTTTTCTTATCTATTACCTCTGTACCTCCGTACATGATACAGGATTGAATGTCCAAGTAAACCGTCAACTGTAAAAGTCAGTGCTTCTCGCAAAAGTCCAGTTCTTGCTTTCATAGATTTCGCGGGTATACCTTAACAATATAAATACTATAGTGTGTTTTAGCTAACTATAGCTTGCAATCATAGTAAATGGAAATTTCAAAGTTTTCACTACTAGCATATCAGAGTTAGATATATCGAGAACGTATAATCAATTGACAATGGATTTTTTCCCTCTCATATGTCGACTTGATATATCCCGGCGAACTTGAAAGAGACGATGCAAAGAGCCTGTTTCATATTCGATTTTTTTACTATAAAAAGTTATTCGAACAACAAAATATTGTGATTTACAGAATGACTTTAGTTTCTCTAACGTCAACTTGCCTTACTTGCAAAGCAAGATACCTTTGTACTGTAACTTGTTTGGGGGTTTACGTCTCCCAGTCAATTCAATACGCGCAAGAGCATGATCTACGTTTGAACAATTTCTAAAATGATACACTTATTTACATACAAGTTAATGAAACAATCATATTAACAGTCCTGTTTAAAGTTATAATTTTGTTAGTTCTTTGGTCAATACAATGACCTTATCAGCAAGTTCAATCTATCAATATGTCGCATATACTGACTGACGTTTTTCATACCACTGTTGGACCATTATTCATACATTGAATTTGTCATGAATTTTCCTTTTATCCATCATGACAAGAAGCATACGGCATGTGTGAGCGGGGATGCTCACTCCTCCATGTACCTGATCCATCTATAGTTAATTAAAATATAAAAGTTTTCACTGTGGAAAAGTTATTAGTATAGTTAATTAAAGTTTTCACTACAGTCATACCAAGTAACAAAGAGTACGCTATTGGAACTCAAAGTTAGAAAGTTAACTTTGATGCTATAATTAACTAGTGTATAATTAATACATGTATATATTTTGTTCAATAAAGTACACGATCAAATATATTTAACAATTACATATAGTATTTTTTCTTCGACGTGATTTTGAAATATACAATCTTCCGATTGGTTTGACAAAAGATCTCATCTTCGAATTTATTTGATTTTAGTCATTTGTAGTAGGTACAACCCATATTTCATTTTGATTCATTATGTCTACATTCTGACAAAATCCGATCTGCAAGTGTTCCTACATTGCGACGTAAAATAAACTGTAGAACTTTTTTTTCTTCATGTAACATACTATAAATTATATTAATATCCCCAAATTGAACAATCAGAACGGCAACAATTCTTCTTTTATTATTTTATATAGAGTGTTTTGCATTATGCATGACTATGCCTAAATAGAGGCAGGGTTTGAGGCACTGTGCACGAGCCGGAGGCGAGTGCACTATGTGTCAAACCCTGCCTACTATTTAGGCATAGTACATGCATAATGCAACACTATTGTTATTATTATGCTGACTGCAGTGTTGTAATTATTTATGCGGCAATCTATTTGACTTTTTCCTGAAAATATCGGTGCTTAAAAGTGCACCTGCAAGAACTAATTCAAAATATTGATGCTAAAATTGTTTGCATGCTTAGTTATTTTGGTTATGAGTATTTTAAATAAGTCGGGAATTCCTGTGTCCGAAAGCAACACAATCTTTATTTTCTGTTTTGTTCGTAAGCCTTATTTGTTTGCAGATGTCTATCCTTCACTGTTCAGTTACAGTTATTGTTAAAAAAGAGCATACTTGATTCATATTATGTACTAAAAACCTTTCTCTTTCAAAATTTAGATTTAAACTTTTATTCGGCATTTAAATAAGAAAAACAATAATATTTTATAATTATTTTTAGTTTACAGGGTAATATGATTGCTGAAAACACAAATTCTTGGTCTTGGTGTAAAAATACAATTATTATGTTGATAAAATTGTATGTGGTTTTATTTGCATTTTTTTTTTTTTTTACATTTTATTGTTATTACAAAAAAATTTGGTTTTAAAAGGGACCTTTCGTCCTCTTCCATGACATTCTTATTTATCCGTGGAATTAATTTCATCTTGGTTATTCAACCATCATTTATGTAAGAACGCAATTTCCATTTTTCAAATAAAATAAATTGTGATCTAACGTGTTGGTGAGATTATTTTTTTGTTCATCAAATTGTTAATGCAAACATTGAATTATCAATAGATTATTCAAAACCGTATCATTGTTGAAGTCTACTTCAGAGACCTTAAAACATAAAATTCTCGAAGTAAGTGTTTTGTAAACTTATGTTTGACTTCATTATATTGCACGGACTCCAACAAATGCGAACCAAAATGTTTTCTCTAACTGGATTCGGCAAACGCTCGCTCCATGACGACAAGGTCATAGATTCTTCTTTTTCGTAGCAACTAACCAAAGTCCATCAAAATGATAGATAGGAACTGTTCCTTCGCCAAGCACGCGGTGCTTTGAAGTGAAATTTGCGGGTAATTCGGGGTAGACCTGAAGAACCGAGGCTACGTGTTACGGCAAACGTCTATAGGAAAAGGATCCCTCACTGCCCGATGGACCAGGGTGCCAAGGTCTAAATTTGAAGCTATTCATCGGTATCTGGTGATATCATTATATAAGTGAAAAATACTTGAATTGGACGTAAAACAAAATACAATCAATCACTTAATGAAACAGTGCCTCTTTCATGTTGAAATCACGCATCAATTGCATGTTTCTTCTGAACAATGATGACTAGCTATTTCATTTTTTTCAAGGTACACCTATTCTAAAAATTATCAAACTAACAAATACACAAAGCTCTTACATAATAAAGATCGTTTTACTATTGCATAACAACTCAGTTATTCAGAGTTACTCAGTCTTGAAATGGATTCTCGGGTTACAGCAAATTACGTGTTTTATTATGGCGTAATACATCTCTGTCTATTTTGCGATAAAAAGGCTTTGCTTTTTTCGATCAAATCATTTACTCATGTCTCCTAGTGTATAAAGATGGCGTATATGAAACTATTTTCTTGATTTGTAATATGACAATTGATAAAAATTGTAAGAGGTCATAAAATCCACTTTATTCTGTAGTGTTAGGTAATTTTAATGTGTAAATATTAGTATTAAACGTATGTGTTTTTTGAAAATTTCATTCTTTTTTTTTTTTTTTTTTTTTGGCTGAATAATTGAGTTTTCGGTTTTGATATTTGTGGACGGCGTATTTTTATGTGTATAAATTAGAAACAAACTTTTCAAGTAGACATACACAGGGAAAAGTGGCTCACATAATATTTACATATAATATTTATGTCACTATCTTTGTATTTGAAAATTATATGAATTTCATGTAAAAATCATATAGATATTTTTTCATGCGAATTTCATGTGAATAAGTTTGTATGATATTCACATATTTTTATAAAATCTTTCACATAAAGTTTTCTTTGCACGATATTTATGCGATATGCTCTTCATGTAAAATTCATATAAATGTAAAGTCAAAATCATTTGAAGTTTTCATATAAATTTCAAATGTTTTGTTTCTCATCTCCTTCTCCTTCTAAGAATTCACATGAAATTCATGTAAAATTTATGTGAGTTACTTTTGCCCTTATGTCTGAAAATGTTAAAAAAGATTACCTACATGAAAGTCTATGTGACAATAATTAACATGTCAGTTTCAAAAGTCCTTATATTTAATTTTTATGTTTAAACGCTGCAAAATACACACAACGTTTGAATTTCTCGCTGCTTTATATCATTTTACACGAGTTTCTCCGTGTATATTCATCGCTTGGATATACACGAAGATGGCATTCAAATAAAGTTCATGTAGCTGATTAATTAAGCAGAAAGAAACAACAAAGCAACAAATATGCAAATAGATAACATCGTCTGTTGGCATTTTGAATGCTTCTATTTTGCGGATGAGTGATGCACAGCGTTGGTTTACAGTTGTGCCTTTTTTATATGACACATGATCTATAAGCTACTGAAATATATCATGCATGATTTACAGACCATTAAAGAAAATAATATCTTTTCATTATAATTTTGCTAATGTGTGTCAGCAACTCGGTAAAACGTATGATGTGTTGTGGAAGTTTTAGAAGGCCATTTATTTGTGAGAATTTTCTCTTCTTTTTTTTTTTTTACCATTTCCGTGCAATTAAACGCTTTAATTATCTTGAGTTTAAGTGTGGATGATTCATATAAGAGTAAAAATTACTAGAATTGTACATGAAACAACATACAATCTATCAAATAAAGAGTACATTGTATTTTATTAAAATGAAAAAAATAAATGAATCAATTTGAATTTTCATTGAATTTATTTCTAGCAATGAGAATCAAAATCTAACATAAAAAATAAATAATACAAATCTACTGAATTCCATACGTGCAAATAAATGTTATTATTATACTTTCATGTTAAATACTAAAATCTGATTGGTTTAGACGCAGTTAACAATCCGTTCGATTACCCTGAGCCTTAGCAACACACATGACAACGGGTAACACAACGGTAATGCCACATGCGTGGAAATTATGCGCGTAC